ATAGCAGGGAGCAGACGCTGGCTGGCACAAAGCCCCAACTCAGGAACCAAAGCTGGAGAGATGAGTAAATAAAAAAAAAACACCAACCAGTATCAAAATTTATCGTAAATCTAACTCCATAACAACTGCAAAGAGAGACTCAAAGGCAAAAAAAAATGGATTTTCTACAAGGGCTACATGAACACCTAGAAGAAATGAAGCAAGAGATAAAAAACGAAATAAAGGCTTTTGAGGAAAGAATGAGAAGCAGAATAAGCCGCTTAGAAGAGAAAGTGGTAAATCTTACCCAAGTAACAGGCTCCTTGCAAACTAGAACAGACGAGAAAGAAACCACTGATTCCTTGAAAGGACAAGACATACTAAAATCAAAAAATTGAAAAAATAGAAGAAAATGCAAGCAATCTGATAGTAAAAACAACTGACAGGAAAACAAGCGAAAGAGAGAGAATTTCAGAATCACTATGCCTGTCTGTCATCCTTGCACTCAGTATACTGACTAACACAGAGTAGGAGCCTAGTAAATGTTTACTGACTCTGACTCTAATTTTGGCCTTGAAAACCATGATTAAAAAAAAAAAAAGACTGGGCACTATTTTCAGAAATCATAAATGAAAATAGTCCAGATCTACTAAAACCAGAGGACAAACTGAAGACAAAAATACACTGATGACCTCTTGAAAGGCACCCCAAAAGGAAAAGTTCCAGGAATGTCACAGGCAAAATCCAAAATTACTGCACAAGTCCAGAAAGAAGCCGTTTTAAAAAGTATGAAGGAGGTCTAGGGGGGCGGAGCCAAGATAGCAGAGTAAAAGTAGTGACTTGCTTGAGCTCTCCCCCAAACCCCTCCAAATACCTATAAAAAATGGCTCTAAACAAATTCTAAAGCAGCAGAACCCACAAAAAGAAAAAGTGAAACAAATTTCCAGCCCAAGACAACCTGGATGGTTGATCTGAAAGGCATATCTCGCCAGGCTGGGAGAGGAATGAAGTTCGGCTTGGGCGCGCAGGTAAGGCAGGCCTCAGAGAACCTAGAGCAGGACTCACAGGACTGAATCGTGGGCAGCTGTGGCAGTTTCCAGACTTCTCAACCCACAAACGCCAAAGACAACTTAGGTCAGTGGGAAAAGTCTGTTTCTGCAGTGGTGAGAGAGAAGGGCAAGGTCCCAGCCCCATTCCCCGAGCACGGCCCTGGGGCAGCGGCTGCTTTCTAAGATTCGGGAGTGGCTAATGAAAGGGATGCAGTATTCTCTTGCTTTGCCTGGGTCACAGTTCTGGGTGGCGGTCCTGGGGTGAGGAGCACTGGCATGGTGGAACTTGTAGTGGCAGTAGAAAAGAAATCCTCCTCACAGTTCCAAGACAGAAAAGAGTGCTTGTGGTCACTCATAGACCAGAGTACAGGTCAGGAAAGGAGTAAGCACCTCGCCCTTGATCACAGCACCCTGGAAGAACTGAAAATTGACAGGTCCCTAGAAGTATCTCTGAAAACAGCTGCACAACCCCCCCCCCCCCAACCACCCCCGAAGCTTGGGACAGTACATTCTCCAAACTGGAAACAGACCCCTATCTTAACAAAGAGTTTATAACTCAAGTAATCGGCTGGGATCACGAGCAAGCAGCCCAAAAAGAGTCAGACTATATTATCTTACTTTGGTGACAAAGAAGATCAAAACATACAACCAAAAGAGGACAACAAAGCCAAAGCTCCTACATCCAAAGCCTCCAAGAAAACTATGAATTGGTCCCAGGCCATGAAAGAGCTCAAAAAGGATTTTGAGAAGCAAGTAAGAGAAGCAGAAGAAAAATTGAGAGTGATGCAAGAAAATCATGAAAAACAAGTCAACGGCTTGCTAAAGGAGACCCAAAAAAATACTGAAGAAAATAACACCTTAAAAAATAGCAAAATAGAAATTGAAAGAATCCACCAATCACCTCCTTAAAGAGATTCCCAAAGGAAAACTCCAGAATTCCAGCCAAATTCCAGAATTCCCAGGTCAAGGAGAAAATATTGCAAGCAGCCAGAAAGAAACAATTCAAGTATTGTGGAAACACAATCAGGATAACACAAGATTTAGCAGCTTCTACATTAAGGGACTGGAAGGCATGGAATATAATATTCCGAAGGACAAAGGAGACAGGATTACAACCACGAATCACCTACCCAGCAAAACTGAGTACAATCCTTCAGGGTAAAAAATAGTCATTCAGTGAAATAGGGGACTTTCAAGCATTCTTGATGAAAAAACCACAGCTGAATAGAAAATTTGACTTTTAAATATAAGACAAGTGAAACATGAAGAGGTAAACAGGAAAGAGAAATCATAAGAGACTACATTCCTGCATGGAAAGATGATATTTATAACTCATGAGTCCTTTGTCAGTATTAGGGTAGTGGGAGGTAAAAAAATTATACGTATGTACACACACACACACACACACACACACACACACACATATACATGTATGTATGTATAGATAGATAGAGGACACAGGGTGAGTTGAAGATGAAGGGGTGATATCTGGAGAATAAAATTAAGGGGTGAGAGAGGATTATAGTGGGAGAAGGAGAAAGGGAGAGGTAGAATGGGGTAAATCACCTCACATGAAACAGATAGAAAAGGCTCTAACAGTGGAGGGAAATGGGGGAAGGTGAGAAGGAATGAGTGAATCTTATTCTCACAGGATTTGGCTTAAGGAGGGAATAACATACACACTCAATTGGGTGTGGAAATCTATCTTACCCTACAGGAAAATAAGGGGGAAGGGGACAAGAAAGCAGGGGGAAGATAGAGGGGAGGGCAGATTGGGGGAAGGGATAATCAGAAGCAAACACTTCTGTGGAGGGACAGGGTCAAAAGAGAGAATAGAATAAATGGGGGGTAGGGTAGGATGAAGGGAAATAGAGTTAGTTTTTCACAACATGACTACTATGGAAGTGCTTTCCGTGACTATACATCTATAACCTGTATCGAGTTGCTTGCCTTTTCAATGAGGGTGGGTGGGGAGGGAGGAAGGGAGAAAATTTGTAACCCAAAGTTTTAAAAACACATGTTAAAAAAATAAAAAAAAAATAAAAATAAAAATAAAAAGAGTAGAAGGGGCCCACAGTCCGGCTCACCCAGGATGTTGCTGCTTTAACTAAAAAAATGAGATCTTGGAATACAATATTCCAGAAGGCAAAGGAGACAGGCTTACAACCAAAAATAACTTTTTCTGCAAAGCGGAGGAAAATCCTAGAGGGAAAAATTGCATTTTAATGGTACTGAAGACTTTTGAGCATTTCTGTTGTAAAGACCAGAGCTGAGTAGATGCTTTGAAATACAAACATTAGAGTCCAGAGAAACCCAGAAAGGTAGACACTTATCTGTGCAACTGGAAGGGGCTGAGATCGGACTGAGACGAAAGGCTAAGATTCTAACAAGAAGAGAAGGAACAAGAGTCCTTTTAGAAGCTTAATGTCCTCAAAGGATTGGAAGAGAGTTAGTATCTAAGTACACTAGTATACTAAGGGGGGGTGCTCTGATTCTGTTCTGAGCATTTTAAGAAGGGGAAGAAAAAGAGAGAGCAAAAGGAGATCAGGAGGGAAGAGCTTGACATTTCTCATTCTTGGGGTGCATGGGAAATAGGAACAAGGAAGAAGGGGGTGAGAACCAGATGAACCTCGTTTTTACTTGAAGTGGACAAAGGAGGGTGGAACACACACGTACAGATAGTTTGGTGTAGAAATACATCCACCTCAACAGGGAAACCAGTGGCAATAGTGGGGTGAGGCTGTGTGAGGGGGGTCAGGAGGGAGGATAACGTCAGGGAAGGAATAAAGCAAAACAAACTTTGTGGTCCTGAAGAGGGTACTGAAAAGGGGGTGGGGGAGAGAAGAAAAGAACTAAAATTGAAGGGGGTGTATTATGGGGCTTCCTGGAAAACTGGGGAATGACTGAATCAGCTGTGGTAAACTACAAATGTGCTAGACAAATATCCTGGAATGTTACTGTGCTGTAAGAAAGGATCCAAGATGATTCAAAGGGCAGCTGCCAATCAGCAAGGAGTGAAGCAGGCAGAACCAGGGGATCAATTTATACAAGGACAACGACATTGTAAATACAAACAACTCTGGTCAAGGCAAGGACCAACCATGTGGTCCACAGTAGAGGCCCTATGATGAAGCATGCTGCCCACCTCCTGGCAGAGAGAGGATGGATGCAAGGTAGACTGAAGACATTTTGGACATGGCCACTGTGTGAATCTTTCTGCCTAACTAGGCTTATTTGTCACAAGGGTCCTTTCCTTCCTCCCCCTTCCTTCCTGTTAATTAGGCAGAGGAGACTGGGGAAAGGGAAAGAAGTTATACCAGTTGCCCCTCAAAAAGAAGATCACTGAAATATTTTTAAAATGGACAGAACTGAACAGAAGGAAGAGCTGTGCCGGAAGCACAGACAAAAAGATCAGTTCTGAGAGCAACATGCAGAATTTATCTACTTCTTTAAAAAAGCAAGTGGCATGAAATGCATACTTAGGGTTCCAAAAGAAACCTCCTTTTGGGTTCTGCTGTGTATGGAAATGCTCTTTCTCGTGTTTAAGTTCGGAATAAAAAAATAAGCGATGATGGATAGAAAGCTCAGACTGCTCGTCCCACATCAAAGGACCTCTGGGACCAGTGTGACGGAGCGTCACATGGCAAGGTGGCTGGCGGCAGTCAGGAGGAAAGACCGGAACTAGCAGGGAACCAGAAGGGCTTCAGTACTGACTGGACCCTGGGCATTTTGAAAGCCAAGGTCCATCTCTCCTCCGAGTGACTCAAAGACCCTTCTCTCGGTGTCCCCGTCAGAGGTTCAGTGCCAGCTACTGTGGGACTGCTTTAAAGACAACACAAGCTGAACTCTGTCCCGCTCCATCCGCACATCTTGGATAAGATTCCCACCCCTCACTCACTCACTGGAGACCCACCCGCTGATGACGGAGTTCTCCGTATTCTGCTGGTCTGTGATGACTGACGCACGGTTTACCTTGGGGTTGGTACGCTGCTGAAGCCTCCTTTCCTCTCGTTCTCTCTGCAGCCGCTCAAACTCTTCCCTGATTTCAGCAGGTGTTCGCCTCCTCTCCACAATCTGTGGGCAGAGAAGAGGGAAGGAGGCTGTTAAAGACCAGACATTAAAGGTGACCCCTGGAGCAGCAGGAACAGCCTGTCTCTTCTCCAAGAAGCCCGAGTGGGCCTGCCCTTACCAAGGATTGCATCTTCTTTTTCACCACCATCCCAAGGAAGTTTTAGCGAAACAGATGTTAAAAATCTACCAACTCAATCATTTTAGAGTTCAGAAATGAAATTCAGACGAAGGGAAAGTATGAACTCAGGGGTCCTGACCTCGGTCTGGGGTTCTATACACTCAACTATGCTGCCACTTCATAGGACATCAAATATTCCCAAGGCAATGATTTTCCCCTCTCCCTCTAGAGAGTTCAGAATGAATTTCTTTCCTTGGTTTCATTGTATTAGCTTCTCTCTTATGTTGTGAGACTCTTCCACCTAAAATCACAAGGATTTAAAGCAAATCTAATCACGTTTAAAATTTCCTAATGAACCCCAGACAACAAATATTAAAAATCTGAAGCAAGTCCAAGAACTCGGCCAGTCCCTCCCTGGAATGCTAGGGGCAATGATGAGATTGACAGGTGAATTTTACTTGGGCTTTGAAGGGAACGTTGGCGCCAGGTTGGAATCTCAAATCAATGGACTCTTTTTCCCACAACAAGACGAGTGTCTCTTTGAGTCCCATCAGTTTTAGGTTAATCTAAGAATTCAGGATAACCAGAGAAGAGCCTGGGGGGAAAATGGATGTTTACATTCAAATAGACATAAAATTCTAACATCTGACCCTCAAAGATGGCGAAGTATCTTACGGACATTTTTTCTAAATCTTCGAACAACCCTGTATATGAAGTCTATACTACACTGGGGTCCAATCAAACCACTTATTCATAGAGACATAGGTAACAAGTGACTGAAGAGAGATGTGAACCTGGGGTAGTTGAAAGGGAGATCTCTTAGTGAAGATTTCAAAAACAGTGGAAGAGAAGAGGAGACTGGAAAGGAGATATAATGGGAAGTAGAAAAGTGGTCAACTGGATATCGGTGGTCGTCAAAGCCTAGAGAAAAGACAAAAAAGTCCCAGTGGAGAGAGTCTTTATGCTCAGCAGAATGAAAAAGGATCTCTAAAAAGAATCATGAGGGCAGGTGGTATAAGGAAGGCCTATCTTCAGAGCCCAAGTTTGAAAAAATTATATGACAGAATAGCTTGCAAATTTCTTTTCTCATACCAAGTGACAAAAACCAAGGCTGACCCCAACTGGATGGTGAATTTTTACCTAGAGTGGGAACAACAGCTCAGCTAACAACTTTTAAAAACAGGTTCGGTCTTTTTAGATGCACATTGCCTTCTTCACACAAATATCTGATTTGTTTCTCAGTAGATTAGGAAACCAAAAATTGACCCCCTTTTTTATTGGGAGGGGTACAAAAGAGGCGGAGCAGGTCTACAAAAATATATAAAAACTGACTGGGCTACCCCCAGAGGTAGCAGCTTTTCCCCTCCCTCCCACCCACCACCACCACCACCACCATAAACGCTCTGTGAAAATCCTGAAAGTGACACCCTTGATTAGTAACTGACCCCCTCTATGTTGACATTTCCTCTGGATAAAGGTAGTGATGGCTACCTGTGAGGCAGCTTTAAAGAAGTTAGGTTCCCACACCAGGGGAATGGCTAAGTTACCTCAGTATTTTAAGATGAAGCATATCTCAGAGCTATCAAAAACGACAGGCAGGAAGACAAGGCTCATTGCCATGAGGCACTCCAGCACAGGCAGCTTAGTAAGACCCCTGAGGGCTGGCTCAGGTTAGAGCAGTCCCGTCTCTATGGAGATGTTCAGCAGAGGCTGAAGGACCACTTCTCTGGTCCACCGCGAGAGGGACTGTTCTTCAGGCATGGATGGCCACCAAGGTGCTTTCCTGCTCTAACATTCTGTGTGCCTGTGAAATTAAATTAACCTATTTTCTGATACCCAGAAATTTCAGTGCAAATGTGGTCGTAGGCAAGGCCAGCAAAATCATTAGAAAATATGGTTTGGGATAAAAACCAAAAGAGGTCAAAGGCTTGTGGACTATCTCTGGCCTACTCAGCACAAATACTTTTTTCAGGAAAAGAAGCGAGGCTTCACATGGATAATGGGTATCACATTGCTCGCCTTCTCAACGGGTAGGGAAGGACTGGAGGAAGAGAATTTGGAATTCAAAATTTAAAAAAAAAAAAAGAATGTTAAATAAATCAAATGACTTCTCCCTGGTCACACAACTTAAAAAAAAAGAAAAAAGAAAAGAAGTGAGAGGTGCCCAAAGGTGGGCATTTGATCGAATCACAAAAAAGAAATGGACCTTCCCCAGTTCTGGTGTTCCCAACTCCCTCGGCTTTAATCACTATTGTGCAGGCTTCATGTTTACTTGTTTGTGTACATGCTTCCTACCCCCAGCAGACTGTAAGTCCCAAAGGGCAGGGACTGCTTTTTTTTTTTCCTTTTGTATCCCCAGTGCCTAGCACAGTGCCACACACATAGCAGAGAGTTAACAAATGCTCTTTGAAAATGATAGGGAATAAGCATGGCTCAAAGGAGATGTGAAGACAGACACTCCCACCTCAGCCCCAGCCTCTCTCAAGGAGGAGGCCCACAGTGTTGCCTATAGCACATTTTTTCAGCCTCTTTCCATGTATTGATCAATTATACTAACCCCCCCATCTTCCCTTTGTCTTTAAAAAAAAAACCATTTTATAGAATGGCTTCTGGGGAAGCAGGAGGGATACTGGGGGAAACTATGGTAATGCAAAAAAAAAAAAGATGTTGATGAAAATCTATTTTAAAAACCACAAATCCTCACTGAAGTACTGAAGCATATCTATGTTAATAGAAAGACAGATGGACGTAGGTAGAGAGGACAGGGTTACTTCAATTGTTACATAGAGAACAAATTTTAAATGGCAAAATGAACCTCTGTGATTGTCTTGACAGTCTTGTGACCTCACAAAACACACTATTTAGATTATATTTAACTGATGTCGCAAGCAACCCTCATCCTGCAGCCTGCTCAGCTCTGGGAACACCAAGGACATGTGTTCCTATTTATAGCCGTTTCACTTTCTCAGAGTAGCCTGATCTTGGACTGAAGGTGAACCAGGTACCATTTTTCAGAGTGACCATTATCTTCTCAATCCCTTTTCTATTTCCCTCTCTGTAGGGCAGGGGCAAAAGCGTTGGTTTGGAGTTGGAGGCTCTGGGTTCTAATCGTGACTCTGTCACTTTGCTATCTGTGTGACCTTGGGCAGTTCACTCACCTCTCTCACCCTTTCTATCCAACTAGTTGCCAAGTCCTACTGTATCTAACTTCATAACATCTCTTGTATACTCTCTCTTCTCTGACACTGCCATTCTACCTAGTGCTGACCCTCATCAGCTCATGCCTGGACTACTGTACCAGCTGCTGGAGGGTCTGCCTGCCTCAAGTCTACCCTCACCACCCTCCATTCATCTGTCAAACTGACTGGCCAGAAGAGCAAGTTCGACCAGGTCACTGACCTCCCCTCCCCCACCCATAGTGGTTCCCTATTACCTCCAGGATCAAATACACAATCTTCTGATAGGCTCCTCAAGCCCCTCCCAGTCCTCTGCAGACCGTCAGGCATGCTCCCTGGCCATCCACCACGCTTGCAGTCCTCTCCCTCCTTGGCTCCCCCTCTCAGCTCCTTTGGCTTCCTGGAAGTCACAGCTCACACCACATGTCTGCCAGAAGCCCTTCCCCACTGCACCTCACACTAATGCCTTTCTTCGGAGACGATTTCCCATTTATTCTGCATGGGGTTCGCACGCAGCTATGTGCACTACTGTCTCTGCCATGGGCTCATGAGTTCCCTGAAAACAAGGGTTGGTTTTGCTTTTCTCTGTACCCCCAGAGCTTAGCAGAGTGTCTGGCACTTAGCAGATGTTTAATATGAGCTTGTGACTTGATAGTTTCCTTCTTGGCAAAAGGAGGTGAATGGATTAAATGACCTTATAATCCTATGATCTCCAAAGGAAAAAAATAAAATAAAATGGAAAAGAAGCTGAAACAAAAACTAAACTGCTCGTTCTCTTGGAAGGCAAGCAAAACTACCCCCAAATAATTTCTTGTGAGTACCCTGTAAACCTCCTGGGCTTGTGAATCAGGGCAGCCCCTCTTCACCTGGACTGCTCTCCATGACCTGATCTGGATTCCTGGCCAAAGGCAGGGAGGTAAGAGAACTGCAGGCATGGAGAACACATATTTCCCAGTATCTTAGGATCTACAGCTGCAGAAGCCTTTGGAGGCCCATGAGGCCAACTGCTTTGTTTTACCTCTGTAAGGTTTACGGCTGTCAGGCTATTTTTCCCTAGCAAAAAAAAGTTTAAAAGTCTAATTGCCTGCTCTACAGAATGCTAGGAAAAATGCAGAGGGAAAAAAGCTTCCCAGTCAGTTCCAGCTCCGGCACAGGCCAGCAACACCGGCCCTCAGAAGATTCCAAGAAGACTCTGGGGCTCAAAGTTTCTTATCTGAATCCTGTCAGAAAACCCAGGGTCTGGCAAGTGCCAGGCTCCAAGCGGCCAGAGAAGGGCAAGATTCGCTGTCAAGCACTTGGGCTGCTTGCAGGCTTGAATTAATGGCTCTAAGTTACTTTTCCTCTGACACACTCTGTGACAGGCTTGAAGAGGAAAACGTTCTAACAGTGTCATTTTCTCTGAGTCTGGTCATCCTATCTAACACAAGCTACAAAAACCTAGTCCCTGTGCCAGGCTCATTGCAAGGTGAAAGGGGCTGGCCTGGCCACTGCATCCAGAATGCTCCATCTGGTCCTAGGAAGCTCTGAAATGCAGAGACTCTGCCCGTTTACATCCTCTAAAAGAACGTCCAACTCAAGAGAAAACCTCAATGGGCTTTTTCATATGAACCAATTCTAGATCTCCAAGTACTAGATTCTAATAGATACATGGAGATAGGGAAATCCACAGCAACTGGTCATTGTAAATGCTGGGGAGCAGCTGAACATTAACTTAATAGTTGTTAATATAAACTCCCCAGGAAAGCCTGTGGAGGGGGGGAGGGATTGAAGGAATGGGGGAAGGGATATGTTCTCTTATATTATTCTATCTTTAAGAGAAGTTATTCTACCCACTACTGGGCTACATTAGCTTCCAAAGATCTGGCAAGAAAGTATGGATAAGATGAACTCAATTAATTTAACTAGCAAGGCATTCTCCTAGACCCTGGGGATACAAAGACAACCCCGATCCCCAAAAAAAAGAGGCCCTAATTTTAAAGGGCTTACATTCAACTGGGGCATACAACATATAAATATAAGATAATTTCAAGAGGGAGGGAACACTAATAACTAGGAGGATAAGGAAAGGCTTCCCACAAGGAAATGTAACCTGATCTGAGCCTTGAAGGAATTCCAAGGCTGGGGATTCCAAGAGACAGAGATGAGGAGGTAAGACATCACTAGCATGGGGGCCAACCCACTGGCAAAGCCATGGAGGCCAGAGAGGGGAGGTGGAGGAATGCTGGGGAAGAGCATGGAGGCCCATTTAGCTAAAATGTGAAGGATGATGTGAAACAAGTCTAGAAAGTTCACTGGAGCCAGACTGTGAAGGGCTTTCCATGCCAAAGTGAGGAGTGTGTATGTTATTTTAGGGGTAATGAAGAGTCAGGGAAGGTTCTTGAGGAGGGAAGTCACATGGTTGGATCCTTCCTCTAGGAAGATTATTTTGATAACTGTGAGAAAGAAGACTAGGAAAGGGCAAAGACTGGGAACAGGGTCTCAGGATGAAAGTCAGATTGTACAAGAGCTGAGAAAGGGAAAAAAAATAGCAATGTTAATTTAATTTTTAGTCTGAGCACAATGTTTGCTGGAGATGAGGACTGAGCTTTTCAAACCACTCTCTTGATTCTCCTGCCAGCTCAAAGCTGGTTTTCAGTCATTGAGGAAAAAGGACTGCTTCCATTCTCTGAACAGGCACCCACAAAGACACTGTTAATTAAATTCCAGATCCAAGATGACAAGATAGAAAGAAGTAGGGGTTTTTACAAACAGGGAATGGCAACATCTCAGGATTATGGCAATCTGCCAGAGAATCAGAATTCTCTTAGAAGAAGAAAAGAACGTGAATTTACCAAGAGGAGCAAGGGCCAGTGGCTGTATAGTCCTGCGAAGCTAAAACTACACAATATAGATAGCTTACTTTTAATAACATGGAAATGATATTACTGATCTATCAGATGCTGGAAGCTACTTCCAAATCACAGCTGTGAAGTGCTTTGAGATCCTCAGATGAAAGGCATTTCAGACATTTAAGGTGTTAACAGAGCCCTTCATCCTTCACTGACTATCCATATGTTTATCTTAACAATATGCAGTAAACGAACACCCCTCAGCAATCGGAAAAGTTTAATAGCGTTCAAAATACCGGCAACAGCATGAAGGGAATGCAGCTGCCTCCCTGGAGTGAAAGCTATTACTGAAGTGGGACAGTCCTCATATTAAACATTCATCCAGCTGTAGGAATTCCTTGAAGAAATGTTGATGCCAGCTCCACAAAATGAGCTGGAGTTCAGTGAGACTTTTCCTTTACAGTATAAATAATGGCTTCAATTTACCTATTGTATGTTAAGCTCTGATACATCTCCGAGCTAATACCTGGGGAGGGATCTTCATGGACTCTTTGCTGAAGGCATTTCTATCTCGCAGTGCAGGCACTGTTCCATGGTATAGTATCAATATGAAACATAAAGCAAGCCAACTCTGATAGATGAGAACTTGACTGGCTCTCTCTGCTTTGTCCTTAAAGAGATTTCATAATACATATTTATTTGAAGGCTTATTCAAAGGTGCATGCACCACCTGTGACTTCTCCAATATTTTTACAGTCATTACTGGGTGCATTTGTTATGATGAGATCATTTTGTTTTGGCACCAGGGAAGCCATGAAATATTTTGCCAGGAAAACCTTAGCCCCATCACTCTAATTGGAAGTTTGGAGCAATGTTGTTTGGAATTAAAAATCTAACAATGAAACTGGAGATACAAAGCAGGGGCCTTGGCTTCCCAGAGCCCTGAACAGTGGTATGAAAAGATGCAGTCAACCTATATTTTAAAATACGATATGTACTTGTAGCGGCATATTAGATAGAAAGAATTTAATGAAGATAAGATTCTCTCCTCCCTCCTCCTAGTAGCTGATGAAAGAGATGTGGGGATTTGGGAAGAGTTTATGGCTGAAATCTTCTGTTAAAATGACTAAGACTTAACTCCTACCCGCACTAAAGTAATCCTGCCTAAGGCATTGCTAATTCCTATTAAGCACTGGTGGGAAGGGGACAAGAGGCAATTTTACTTTACTCTCTTCTTCTCCCCCCTTGTCAGAATCAAGATGTATGCCAAAGGCTCTCATGGTCTCCAAGGATGGGGCACATGTAGCTGTTTAGGTTCCAAGACCAAAAGTGGTGGAGGGGGGAAAATACATTAAGCAGCCGCATACCAAAAGACCATCATGTGAAATGTTACATGATGTTGAAAAAGTGTGCCTCTAACAGTATATTTCTGAATATTTTTTTTTTTTTAACTCCTACTTAGGCTTTCCCAAACCCCAAAACTCCATTTATGAATGAAAGAAGGTAGCCACTTAATGATGGCTGCTGGACATTTATTTTTTAAAAACTCCTATTCAATTTTAAACAAAGATAGAGGGCAAAAGGTCTAGAATTTTGTTGACTCGAATGTATTTTTCCTTAAGATAGTATTTGTATGGATATTTTATTCATTCATTAATTCTTTTTTTTTTTGCTGGGATATGACACATATAATTTTTCTTACCTCCCATCCTTCCATTTCCAGTCCTCTTTTCCCATATATATCATAGATGGCTCTGGTTTGGGGGTCACTGAGAACTGCAAATTAAAAGGCATATGTTTACAAAGTGCAAGATTTACGTTATTCTGTGAATTCCCAGGGATCACACACCTTTCCTCCTGTCGTGTCCCCATGTTTATAGTGGTTATTTTTGACTAACAGAGTCAGCTTCATAAGGGCTGAAGAAGCTTCCTGGGCGTGGCAGCTCCCCTGGGAAAGATGCATTAGTTCTTTCAAGCCACCGGGACAAAACGGTTTTACTTTTCTCAAATATCTGCTTAGCTATACCAAAGTTACAAAAAAAGTTAATGCAACTTCTAAAGAAACCTAATTATAATGCTAATAGCTGGCCTGGCCAAAAAGCTTTAATATCTGCAAAGCCCTTGATAATCTGGACAGCCACAGCAACTCTGAGACTGGGACTATGGCTCTAATGATGGCCATTTTTAGAGATGCGGAACCTGAGGCTGCTTAGGGTGACCTGCCCAGGTCACAAAGCTACCAAGTGTCAGGTGGGACTCCGAGGCAGGCCTTCCATGAGGGTACTCAGCCCGTGAGGGACCAGGCAGTGGAGCCAACTTGCAACTGTTATGGTAATTTTCTCCTTCAACAGCCCTTTGGAGCATCTTAAACAGCCCATGTTTTTCTGTAGCATTAGCACTTATTTGTAAATAATTTTGTCAGTCAGGCAAAACACTTGTCACAACAGTGCCAGTTGTGTCTGTGATGTAAAATGACACAAGAGAAAACAGGCTGTTCTCCAGAAGGATGTGAGCTCGTCAGGAGAGGTCAGGACAGCAAGCCTGGGATGCAGAGACAGAAGGCTTGAGGCCAAACCCCACCTTGGCCACTTACTACTAGGGGCACCTGGGCAAGTCTCTTCTTTCTGGGCCTCCGTTTCCTCATTTGTAAAATGAGGGGAGATGATCAAGATGATGTCTCAAGTTCTTCCTTGTTTTAAATTTACGATCCTACGAATGGTTTGGGCAATGCCTTGAAGAACACAGCTGCATAAAGCCAGACCAAGACCACCCAACACCTGTGACCTTCCTCCCCACCACGGCCCAACTCCAGCCCTTGCCAATCTCTACAGAAGACCTTGACTTCTTTTTGCAGACTGTTCCATACATTTTAAGGCCTAATTAAAAAAAGAGAAGAAGATGCAAATGATTCTGCTCATGTTTAAATCTAATATGGAGGAAAGAAATGCTGACCATTCAAAAACACAGGCACCGAACGTCTTCAGCTAATCTCTCGGATTTAATAAGGAATCATTTATTCACAATTTTGCTTTTGTCTCCCTTTAGGCTAAACCCCTGGGTGCCAGGCTTGCTGCTGCAGCAGTTTGACAAGAGCCAGCCGGGCTTTGCTGTTAACTCTCTCGTGTTTCAATTACTCCTCCCAAATTTCCAAAATGCTGCACACAAGCTGTATCAATAATTCAGACAACTGTAAAATTAATTCATCCACACAGATAACAGAATGTAATCAGAGGAAGGCAGTTTCAATCAAGCCCTTCCTATAAATGGATTTGAAACATCTGCCTCTGACTGGAGAGCTAAGTCTGATAAGATTACATTGTCTTGGCTACGCAAATACATCACTTGCCACTGCCTGACTTTCATTGGTCATTAAAATCTAATTTTTAGGCAAAATTATAAACTGAGATACAAGATATATTTTTATTTGTACAATGAAAAGTCTTTATTTCATAGACTAACATGTCCTCTCATTTTTAGCCCGTCTAATTATGGGAGAATGGCTCTCACAATTCACTAAATGTATTCCTGGCATGAGTTATTGCCAATTTGCTTGGGATAAATTCTAAATCCAAGCATAATACTTCACCACAAGAAAACTCGGCTCAACAAACCCTTTGTGACATAAATCATATATAAGGATAAAAACCCTCTGCTTGCTCTCGTTCTCATTCTTGGGACTGAATTTTCTCAATATGACCAAGTGCCCCAAGTTCTGGGAGGCATTTCCTCCCCCACTGGCCATGGAACCCAGGAGGCCAGAGTTCAGCTTTAGACTCTCTTTCAGATGGAGACAAACTCGAGCCACCTCATTTGCCAGCCTGGATGGAAAAGCCTCCTGGCCCTGCACCAGAGGGTCTCCCTCTGGAAGAAAACTGGAGTAAACAACTGAAAAGCAGCCGATTCCCCCTACAATTCAAAACCTGGTCTCGTGCTCAGCTTCTGCACTCATTTTCCACTTATTGGGCACATATTGATTTCCAAAGCAAAATATTGCTTTTTCAAAGTCAGTCAGTCAGTAGAAGGCACGAAGCTAACCACCATCTTTAAACACCACCAAGGACCCTCGTCCTCTACACTCTTCAACGCAAGTATTGTAAGAATCCAATATGTGCTACTGGGGCAGCTTTCACAAAACCCAGACCCTGACTGACCTTCATAAGCCTGGTGGACAAGGTTAAACAGCTGCTCGGCTTGTGATTTGAGCTCTGGGTCTCGGTGCTTGTCTGGATGGTAAAGCATGCACAGCCTCCGGTAGGCAGCTTTTAGCTCTTCAGAAGAGGCCTACGGAAAGAAAAGAAATTCAATTAGACGGCGATCAATGCTATTTAAACATTATCATCATCAGAATCAGCCCTGAAATGGGAACCTGTCAGCCTCTCCCCAGCACATTTAGCTCTTCTAAATACAGTGTATAATGAAGTTAGGCTTTATTACTGTAATAAGGCTTTTTGCACAGGTTAATAACGTGATCAATTATGTACATCAATAGTGACTGCATCTTGATGGCATGCATGGTTATCAGGGAGAGAGGAAAGAAATTCCTGTCTCTGCATTGGTTCAATCTGCTCTGAACCCGAAAGGAAAACAGCAGAGATCAGCTTCCTCTGTATCTATGTTAGATGAAAGAAGGCAAGCCACTATGTCTCCAATACTGGGCTGTACTGTCAGGGGGAAAAAAAACACAAAACTAAAAACTGTCTGTCCTCAGGCAAAAATGCCATGCTTTTAATCCAAGGTTCTGGCACTGAGAACCTCTGTGAATTTTAATCCCCAAACATCTACAATTTTGAAGGGAATTATAAAACTTAACACCCATTCCTAAGTCTCCCCTCAGGAGAACTCCCCAGGCATGATTCCCCCTTCATTCTATTCCACAAACAAGACCCTTTCTGTTCACAGTCCTCTCGAGGACAGAAGCTAAGGATTTCTTATCAGCTAAGTCTCTACGAGAGGTGGCATGAAGCAGTCCTGGTGAGAAGGCAGAAGACCACCATGGGCAAAGAGCAACCCTTGCTCACCAAGCCCCACTTCCAAAGGAGCAGTGGACATTTTAAATAACATGTACCCAACCAAAGGTAAAAATGGAGCAAACTGTCAAGTAAGTCTAAATAACCAAAAGGACAAGCTGGATGTTGGCTGTCTGCAACCATGCAAGGGAGGAAAGGTAAGAAGCACAATTCTCCTTTTCCTGTCTTGAGATAAGAAGTCTTATAAGCTACATACCTGGACCATCTAACCTTTGGCCCTGGGAAGTTTGTAGCATCTGGCTTCTTACAGTTCTCTTTAGGTGATAATACTTATAATTAAGACCATTCAGACCTGTCATAGGTGATGCTGCCTGGGCCCTGATAACAGCATTTTTAAAGGGCATTTTCACGGTGAGAAGCAGTCTCACCCCGCACTGCAGCTCGACAATCGTGACAGCAGAAGCCGATTTCTGGGTCCCTGACAGCATGCCAGAGAAGACAGAATGTCAGCTGTCTGGGCAAAGGGATGGACCTGGCATTCTGTTAGTATTTTGGGCACAGCCTGTACCCTAGGGCCAGTAGGTCCTAGAGAATGGATCTAAAAGAAGAAACAAAACTCAGGAAACAGATAATGTAAGGAAAAGTGATCAGAGAAATTTTCATTTTAGAATTTCTTGGAGGCTTTTCATTTATCTGGAATGTTCTTTACTATTTTCTTCTCTTATACAATTACTTATACATTTGAATATCTATACTTCTCAATGGCGAGACAGTTAGGTGGCTCAGTGGGTAGAGCACTAAGCCTAGAGTCATAAGACCCGAGTTCAAATCTGGTCTCAGACATTTACTAGCTGTGTGACCCTGGGCAAATCACTTAATCTCTGTTTGCTTTAATCCACTGGAGAAGAAAACAGCAAACCACTCCAGTATCTTTGCCAAGAAAACTCCATGGACCGAATCGTCTATAGACAAAGAGTCAAACACAAGTGAACAGCAATAACTTCTCAATGGAAGTTAAGAAATAATTTATACTTAATTCTTTACCCACTTAAAAAAATGAATTTAGCCATAATTTCTAACTATTTTTCCATTCCTATTTAAGATTACATGGAACACCTAGCTGGTGCAGTAGATAGAGCGTTGGGCCTAGAGTCATGAAGACTCATTTTCCTGAGTTCAAATCTGGCCTTAGACACTTACTAACCATGTGACCCTGGGCAAGTCACTTCACCCTGTTTGCCTCAATTTCCTCAACTGTAAAGTGAGGTGGGGAAGGAAATGGCAAAATGCTCCAATATCTTTGCCAAGAAAACCTCAAATGGGGTCACAAAGAGTCAGATCTGACTGAACAAAAACGCAACAACAATAATTTAAGATTACAGACTGAGAGTCAGAAATGATCTGAGAAGTCATCAAGTCCAACCCTCTCTTTCTACAGACCAAGAAACCGAGCTCCAGAGAGGGCGGTTTGCCCTGAGAGGCACAGCTGGCAAGTGTCAAGGTAGATTTTGAAATCAGGTCTACCAGGCTCCATGTCCCACCCTCTCTTTGTTTTAGATCCAGAAGCTGGAGCTCAGAGAGGGTAAGTGACTTGTCAAGAGGTGACACAGGTGGTAAGCAGCAAATTCAGGATGAACCCAGGGCTTTCAATTCAGATGATTTTTAAAAATTCATTTTTAATTCAATTAATAATTTTTGATTGACTGAAATGAGATAACCTGTGTAAAGTACTTTGTGAGTCTTAAAAGGACCATATAAAGTCAATTATTATTGTTCCAAATCCCACAACCTTTCCACCGGTGACACAATGCCTTGCTCCTCACTCCCCCCAAAAAAGAAAATTTAAAGTAATTTTGATATGTTTTGAGAACAGTTTCTAGGATGAAACTTTTAAAATATTTTCAAAGGTGCGAATCTACTTAAACATGGAGAAATAGGAATCTTACAGAATCTTAAGATTTCTGTGGGGACCTTGAATAGAAAATTTCAAAGTAGGCCACGGAAGGACAGGGGTTAGAGTCACTTTCAGGGTCACTGACTTTCTTAAATCAGAAATTAACAAGAAGATTCAGGGTGCAGCTTGAGCAGAAGTGATTCCATTTTCTTTCCCTTGGTACCTTGGGTTAGAGGTCTTCCCCTTATTGGCTGGCTAGTATTACAGCAGAATGTAAGCTCCCTGACAGCAGTACCTCCCTACTCATTCCCAGCGTCTAGAGCAAAGTGCCTAGCACATAGTGGGTACTTCATAAATGTTCTCTGGACCTTGCCCTGTGTTAAATCATGATCTTCAAAGGATCTTTCCCTGTACAGTAAACAAAAGCATTAAGTGTCATGGGTAATCTTCCTAACTTCAAGAATTAGTTCAAATTCTGCCGGTACTAATTTCACAATATTCCTCCAGCTTCATCCCAGTCTGAACCTTTATTTTTCTTTTGGGGGTGGGGTTGAACTGGGGGTGGGGAACTCTTGGTGTAGAAGCACCTTCCATCTTCCACACATATAGGCAAGCAGCTTCTCAATAATCTAGTTTTAGAAAGTCACTTGGGGGGGCAGTTGAAAGTTAAGTGACTTGGCGAAAGTCACAAAACCAGTCTGAGTCAGAGATGGGATTTGAACCCAGGTCTTCTTCACTCCATGTACTGTACCATTCCACTTCTCTGCTGCCCTAAAGTACGGAATATAGGGTCTGGACCTACAATTTAGGAATTATCTATTCTGGGTCAATCTTCTATATGTTATTTATTCTCTGATGTTTTAAAGCATTAATTTCTTATGTATTTCTTTTTTGCCATTCAGCCTTCTATACAGGTATACCTTGTTTTATTGTGTTTTACTTTATTATTATGCACTTCACAGACACTGTTTTGTTTTGTTTTTTACAAATTGAAGGCTTGCGGCAACCCTGTGTCGAGTAAGTCTATCTTTGCTACTTTTCCAACAGTATGTGCTGTGCTCACATGTTGTCTGTCACATTTTTGTAATTCTCACAGTATTTCAAACTTTCATTATTATTATATTTGGGATGGTGATTGTGATCAGTGACCTTAGATGTTACTATTATAACTGTTTTGGGGTGCCACAAACTGTGCCCACATAAGAAAGCAAACTTAATGTTGTGTGTGTTCTGACTTCTCCACGTACCAGCCTTCCCCAGTCTCTCTCCCTACCCAAGGGTCTCCCTAATTCCCTTAGACACAACAATATTGTTCAAGTGAGATGATGAGTCAATGTGGCAAACTTCATTGTTGTCTTATTTTAAAAAATTGCAACAGGTGCTCCCCTACCCCCACACCTTCAGCAACCACCACCTGATTAGTCAGCAGTCATCAACATCTAGGCCAGGGCTTCTTAAACTTTTCCCACAATTTAAGAAGCACTAAATTCTAGGCAAGACCCTCCACCAGCAAAAAGATTATAATTTGCTAAAGATTCACATGATGGTTAGCATCTTTTTTTTTTTTTTTAGCAATAAAGTATTTCTTAATTAAGGTATATACTTTTTAAAGACATAATATTATTGCACACTTAATAGACTACAGTATAGCGTAAACATAACTTTTATATGCACTGGGAAACCTCAAAATTCATGACTTGCCTTAGTGTGGTAGTCTGGAACCAGACCCACAATATCTCCAGGGTATTCCTGTATACAGTATATCCTGCCAGGGTGGTGAATTTTGTTTTTTTTCCCCCTCTTTTTGGTGAGACAATTGGGGTTAAGTGACTTGGCCAGGGTCACACTGCTAGCAAGTGTCAAGTGTCTGAGGCTGAATTTGAACTCAGGTCCTTCTGACTCCAAGGCTGGAGCTCTACGCATTGTGCCACCTAGCTGCTCCCTAAACACAATCCTTGGTTTGTTTGTTTGTTTTTGTTTTTTTGAGGCAATTGAGGTTAAGTGACTTGCCCAGGGTCACAAAGCTAATGTCAAGTCTAAGCCCAAATTTGAACTCAGGTCCTCTTGACTCCAGGGCTGGTGCTCTATCCACTGTGCCACCTAGCTGCCCCCAGGGTGGTAAGTTTTAATAGTTTCCTCTCTAAAATTCAAACCATTCTGTTTTCCTTCTTAATCTTGGGTCCATATTTTCCTGACATCTTTAATTACTGGTTTAAGTAATAATGTGCAAATTGTTTATATGATTATTGATATATTTACTGAAATACAGGTAAATTCTGCTTGTTCTTATGAATTACTGTTTCAAATGTGTATACTAATCAAGTTGTCTTCACCAGCTCACTAATTTGATAACCAAAAAAAGAACTTGACTCTATCTTAAAAGCTACTCAAAATGGTTTGCTGTTTCCCAGATTGTGATT